TATAGCCTGACTTATTTTATAACTTTGAGTAGTTTGATATTTTCTTTAAGATATTTTCCTGCAGTTTGTTTTATCCTGTAGGTACACTTCCTTACTTGATAAACTAAAAGGTTTATAAAAAAAGGGGATGTTATAGTAGTATCCTAGTACCCCTCTATTTGGCTTGCTCCGTTAGCTACAGACTCACAATGTTCTTGTTCCCTTCAGTCTTATCTCTAGCTAGAAAATGTGTATTAAGGTTTCATCTAAAAAGTCAAAATCATTTGGGCGCCATGAGTGTTTTAATTCAACTTTTAACCACAATACATATCTATGAACAATTTTGCCACCACCTACTTTGATACAATTTGCAACTTCACAACTATTTTCAAGATGTCCCATGCATCCACAAACAAAATAGAACTTTGGAAGTCTTTCGTATTTGATCTGAAATCTCTTGCGTTTTGTAACAGAAATCTAAGAAGTTTTAGATCTTCTTAATGGCTTATTTGTTTCCAAATAAATTCTAACTCTAATAACCTTAAGAAAACTTTCATCCATCTCCATGACCTTCCCTAAAGAATTCTCGATCATGAATCTAATTTGTTCTTATTACATACCAATAAGAACATCAAAGATTCAGGCCCAAAATGGATTTATAAAAAGATTATATTGCTCTACCATTAAAAAGGCTTGAAAATATTTAAAAATAAATAATAAGTTGCTAAAATTTTGAGACCCTCTATGCAGGGTTTTGTTGAAATCTTCAATATCAAAGAATTGAAATAGATAAGTTTTCTTCCCAATGTCAGAAGGTGAGTATCGTTAACAATCGGGATCAGAAAAATCCTCATCATTTACATTGTCAAAGTACTTGGCTCTGCTCATTCACAAGGACTCAACTCTGTGTCCAAACATCACATCAAGCAATTATCACTCTTGGCCTGAAACCATCCTTGAAGGGCTGCGAAAAAGTCCTCTTAGAAAGAGGGACTTGGCAAAGGTAGACTCGACATCTAGCTCACCTGAAAAAATGAGCTTTACTTAGTGGTCTTCCAACGCTGACGAATGCTTCCTTCCGCTTTTCTAAGGTCTACAACAAACAAGTGGGAGAGGCAGGATTCGCAATGCCTGTGGAACAATTAACGATGTCTTGGTCACTGGCATTCGTCAAGCAGGCCACGTGTTGTTTCCCTAATCTCAGAAATTTTAAAAGCCTTTCCAGGGTTCCATGAGAACACTAAAGCATTATCGAGACGATTCATGTTGATCCTTTTTTGGGAAACGATCTTCCCCACTAAACACAGCTTTTCTACCTTGGAGTCTTTGAGTTTCCAAATCGAATGCAAGGGAAGGATGCCATCCTCATCTTCTGTAAGATGAACAAGATTGAGCATGAAGCCGATTTCTTCATCTGCCATTCTTATCAACATCAGCAACCAATAGCACAAAAAAGAATAAAACCTCAACCCCCGTAACCACCAAAGACCATATTTGCAGCCACCTTATCAAATGGCACAACACCCGACAACCAATTTTTAATCGTTCCCCTAATTTAGAATACCCAAAACAGAGCAAAAGAGAAAATTGAAGGGAAGGAAGCAAAACAAGAGGAAATAGTTATATGCAGTAGAGAAAGGAGAGGGCTTCTCAATTGGAGAGAAACCTGAAGGAGAAATCCCGTCACCTTCAAAACCATAGAGTTTCAGAGCACGGAAGTTGATAATTGTCAGAGTTCTTAATTTTTATTTGAACTCTTTAATTTACTGCAACTTTTTTTTTTCTCAAATCTCAACAAACTGCTGGCCTTATAGTTGATGAAGCTACGCACCCTCGTCACTCATTGTGTGTCTATTTTAACAAAAAGATACATTAATTTAAATTATTGAATGAGAGATAGATTCTTAATATTTGACTTCGCACATTTAACCATTTTTATTTTACAATTTAAATAAATTAAATTGTATTGTAAAATAGAAATCTCTATTTTCTAAGATTTTTACTTATCTGTGGCCCCATATGCTCTACAGCGTTCAACCTGTAGTCTGTCTCTTGTTATGCGATAACCATGAACTATCTGAAAAATGGCAAAAATATATAGAGTGAAAGGTGGGAATTTTGGTTTACACTAGAACCAATTAGAGAACCAATGTATATATTTTTTTTAAATGAAAATGATTCAGACATTCTTTACTTCCACATATATGCTGACACACAATCGTTTTAATTATTAAAATATAATTAAATATAACCAATTTAATTAATTCTTTTATAATATATGCATGTATGATTATATTTTAAAGTTTTTTACCTTTAATTTTAAGTAAAAATAATAATTTTTTTATAAATGTATTGTAAAATATATTAAATTAAAAGATATCTGTATTTATATCCAAAAAATGTAAAGAAACGTGAGATTCCATGTCATTGTTATATTCTACTTCATTGCTATATATTTGTTCATATAATTAATATTTTCTTATTTCTTAATCGTTCAAGAACTTTATTTGCAACTAGTTTTTTTTTTTTTTTTACCATGCGTTACACGGGTTATTTTTTAGTTCTTTATATTGGAGTTTAAATTTTATATTATGTTTTATCAACTTTTAAATTTTTTAAAAAAAATGAAAAATCAAGATATCATGACATTAAACTCATTTATGCTTATATCTTTGAATTGGATAAAAATAGTAATATTAAATAATAATAATAATAATAATAATAATAATAATAGCACTTTTGTTTTTAATTTTTAATTCAATTGAATCTTTTCCGTATTACTTTATGCATTAATATGGAGATAAATTATATTCAATTTATAAATAAATTGTTTTAGCTTCTTTTGTTTATTATTATTTTTGAAATTAATATTGAAATAATACAACAATAATCATTTATATGTTACATTATTAATTATATGCCTTTTGATCTTCCATTATCAAGTATTGCATAATAATTTTAATTAAGGTTATACTTTTTATTAATTAAATGGATCAAATTGAATTTTTATATATTCATAACCTTTTACTTTTCATGCTCTCATATATCTATTTTTTTTTTAATTTATCAATATAAGATTTTTAGTGTAAAAGAAAGATGAAAAGGAAAGTCATGTAACTTTAAAACCGTAAAAGTAAACTTGAGTCAATTATGATTTCTAGTATTGCAAAAATAATTATTGTGTGTTATAATCTTATAATTTGTTATTATTATTTATAAAAACTAATTTTTATTTCTCTTCCTTTAATTTAATACATTATACGTACGTAGCTAAAAAAAATAATAATAAAACAATTATTGATTAATAATTTAATATAGTTATATAAAAAATTAATTAAAAATTAAAAACTTACTTTATTTTAGATAAAGTGTTATGAGAAAAAAGTTTGTATGAAACTTTAGCAAATAAAGCCTAGGACTCTCAAATAAAAAACAAAAAATGAAATATGAATAAAAATTAGATAAAAATAACATTATTAGAGCTTAAAAATTACAACAAAAACTAAAATTCAAATACTAATAAGATAATAATTTCCAAATAATTAAGAAAATTTTTGCATATTCCTTCCTAAAATTCTTATATTGCCAATTTGGTGTCTCAAATATCTATTTTCTTTTAATTTATCAATATAAGATTTTCTTTTAATTTCCAAATTGAATTTTTTCATATTCCTTCCTAAAATTCCTATTATTTTCAAATTTGAATTCATGGAAGAAAAATTTCCAAGGGCAAATTGTAATGGTTAAACTAGAGTATGTTGTATAATATGTTGACTTAAAAGGTATACTAATCATTGTCCTAATTTATATCCTCAAACAATTAATCACTAAAAAAAAAAAAGAATTATTAGGAATTTTAAGAAACAAAATAAAATTTAGTGAAAATAATCAACAATAAAAATTAATAATTTATCTTTAAAAATACAGTTACTTAATAATAGATCTAATAAATTATAAGAAAAAAAATTGTTAGGAACTTTTAGGAACAAATAAAATCTAGTAAAAATAATCAAAAGTATAAACTGACCCAAAAGGAAAATCAAGAGAATAAAAATTAGATACCATTGCAAACACGATTGATTTATTAATAGATTACATGAATTACAAATATTTAGTCAATAATAATAATAGAGAACTTTGTTAGGAATTTT